GGCAGGCAGCACCTGAGCAGGTGATGGACTGTCTGCTCCATCACTTCCTGTCTGCTCCATCACTTCCTGTCTGCTCCATCACTTCCTGTCTGCTCCATCACTTCCTGTCTGCTCCATCACTTCCTGTCTCCTCCATCGCTCAGTTCACGTGCACACATTCCTGTAAACGTGCACGGGCTTGTTCCAGCAGCAGGTCCCACAGCTGACGTTCAGATGAACAAATGAATGTTTGTTTATTTCACTCATCCTCTCATTGGGACAGACCTGATCAATCTGAAACAGGTGGTTCTGTTGGACCGCTGGTTCTGGTACCAGACTCGTCTGGTCAGAGTTGTCTGGTGGTTTCTGAGGGTTTGGAGCTCAGTTCAGTCGTCTTTCTGCTCCGCTGCTTTTCTGGGTCGTTCTTCTGTCGTTTGAAGGGAGGAAGCAGCGTCGTTCAGTAACGACCACCTGCAGGCGGGACATCGCTCAGAGGAACCAAACTGTCTGAACCTGATGAAGATGATGCTCAGATGAAGATGATGCTCAGATGAAGATGATGCTCAGATGAAGATGATGCTCAGATGAAGATGCTTATATTTCTTCTTCTGTTGGTGAAAATAAAAAACATCCAGCTCTTCATGTCTGCTCATCCAACTTTTAGAATTAAAGACGCTGGAGAGCTCGAAGTTTTTCAAAATAAAAGTCCCAAACCCCTCCTCCTCTGCAGGAGGCGGAGCCAATGAGAGGAGGAAACAGGAAGGAAAACTCATCAAAGCCCAGCTGCAAACACAAAGCATCAAATAGGAAACCTGGAGGCTGAACTTCCTCTGGCAGGTGGAGAGACTGGTAACAGGTGAGGTGGGTGTGGCTACACACCTGGTTTCACCCTCGTGGTGTCAAATCCTGTCCATCTATCAGAGCGCCGGTTGTCTCTGTGAGACAAGAAGGTTTCGGTCGTCTGAAACATGACTTTAAAGACCAGAACCTGCAGCTTTCACACCAAAACAGGTTTCAAATTGATTTAAGTTAAAGACAAACAAGTCTTCGTGTTGGACAGATGTCCTGGCCTCCATGTTGGACACATGTCCTGGTCCCCATGTTGGACACATGTCNTCCCCATGTTGGACAGATATCCTGGTCCTCATGTTGGACAGATGTCCTGGTCCCCATGTTGGACATGCCCTGGTCCTCATGTTGGACACATGTCCTGGTCCCCATGTTGGACATATGTCCTGGTCCCCATGTTGGACACATGTCCTGGTCCCCATGTTGGACACATGTCCTGGTCCTCATGTTGGACATGCCCTGGTCCCCATGTTGGACACATGTCCTGGTCCCCATGTTGGACAGATATCCTGGTCCCCATGTTGGACAGATATCCTGGTCCCCATGTTGGACAGATATCCTGGTCCCCATGTTGGACAG